TAAGTTGAAGATTTTAAATAACTTTTGAGTTTAATTTGTTTTAATCGACAAAAGCAGAGCGTTTTAGGAGACTACTTTTACGGGATTCACAGACCAGAGACAAAAGAAACACAACACAGCCAACTGCAAATAGAAGCACCGGGTTTAAATGCTGCATATAAATAAAACAGAGCCAGAAATGATGGAAACAAAGGATATTCAATAATCTAACACAACAGTTGCCACCCACGGGGTTCTTCCTGTGGAGCCTGTTCTCACACACCTTTAAGCCTCTCCCATCTAGGCTCCATCACAAGCAGGCTCTGGTAAAGACTTCTTTAGAGAAACCACAAGGGAACATTAGTACGTACCTGCAGCATTTAAAAAATCTTGCAGGAGAGATTCCAGGTTGCTATAAGCCCTCAAGAGTCGTCTCCCCCCCCCCCAAAAAAAACAAGGCTCCATCAGGACAGTTCCTCAAACAGAGATTTTTTTTTGGGGGGGGGTTTTCTTTGTAAACAGCACTATAAAGTTTTAATTACTTTTTTTAAAAAAAGGTTACAAATTTTTATTTTTGCATTTTTAACTCAATCCATTTATGGTGGTTTTGGATTCTGAACTTTCTTACAATTTACTCTGGCTGCATTCTTGATACAGAGGAGGAGCAAAGGGAGACTTCTACATGAAGATGGCGCTAAAAATAATGCAAGTATTATCGCAGAAAGGGAATATCATTTGCCAAAGAACACCGAGTCACGCCTTCCTCTGCCACAATGCCGTAACCTCATTGTGGCATCTTACCTAAGATGCACCTGGGGGAAGCGGGAGGTGGGAGGGAGGGAGGAAGGAGCTTACCTGGAACTTTGTCGACCGAGGCAAACACCGAACGCTGCACAGTTGGGTCGCAGCTGCTCCGCCGGGCTTGCTCATAAAACCGGAATGGCAGGTGTGATGTGGCAGCTGAGCTGTGTCCAAAGCCCATCACTTCATTGGCTGGCTGGATGGGCAGGTCCAGAAGTGCTGGGTTCAAGGAGACACACATTACGCTTTGGCTAAGAAACTCAGAAAGCCAAGACTGCACCAGTGCGCCGGGACACCATCGCATGGAAAGCCTTAAGCTCTCTCCCCTCTGCAGGTAAACGCTCCTTCCTGGCTAATCTACTATGACCTGGGAGCTGTGATCCCACAACGGCTCTGCCAAGACTAGGAAAGCCAGAAGAAAGAACAGCTTCTGACTTTCTTGGGGGAAAAGCAGGCCGCCAAGCCCCGTGGGACCCCGAGAGCAACGAGGGGACCAGGCCGGTACCTGCGATTCTTTGCATTTTCATCCGCCGAGCCTGGATCCTTCCCTTGGCCAGGCGCTGCTTGGCAATGATGCAGCGTATGTGATCCGAAAAGACGAAGGTGGCCTGAAGGATGGGAAAGGGCTTGGAATGCGGGCTGGAAGCCGGCTTGTGTATGACGATATTCAGGGCCCGGCTGTCATCTTCCACTCCTGTCACCTGCATGTCCTGCAAGGGGCAAGGAAGGAAACGCAGGGGGTCAGCAAAACCCGGAGCCGAGACCCAGCCCAGGCGCCAGAGCTCCCTTTGCAAAAGACGAGGCAGAGGCAGCCAAACCAGCCCCGCTTTCTCCTCTCCCCCTATGAACGGAGAAGGCCAGGCAAGGGGGCACCAGAGGCTTCACACACTCTAGCTTCGGAAGTCACCTCTCCTGCTCGCACAGCACACAGAACGGGTTTGCCTACTGAAGGGGCCGAATTTGCACAAGACCCTAAGCAACCACGAGGAATACAAATTGGGCTCCAGGGATTCTGCCAAGGCAGTTGCTAGAGCTGTCGCTGAGCTGGCTCCCCCGGGTCGCGTGGAGCCAGTCAATTACGGTGCTGGTTAATCCTGTTTCTTTCAAAGTCAATAAACTGGAAGCTGCTTAGCCACAAACAAATACTGGCAAGTCTCCTCTTGCAGGAAATGATGCGCACCAGCAGCTGCTCAGGCGTATTCGACCCAATAGCAGTTAGACTTATCTACCGCTTCATAGGGCTTTCAGCCCTCTCTAAGTGGTTTACAGAGTCAGCATAT